ATTTAATATACTAAAGAGCTTCGGACCTAGGCTACACCGTAATTCATGAATGCCTCAGCCACATTTCAGTGGCCGCTGTGTAACTTCTAGTGCGGCACGCCCCACTGAGGCAGAGGTGCGCGATTTCTTTCACACCTTTTTACAACGTTAGTCGGCTGAGATTCAATTTGATGTTGCTCGCATAGTTAGTGCGGCGGACTCCTAAACCGGGTCCAAAACTGGTACGTGGACATGTGTGCCAATCACCCAAATGACAGCCCAGCCGCAGCAACAAGCCGTCAAATTATTATAATGTGGGCCTTTTATACCCTGTAAGCCATGTAGCCCCAATCAGGCTCTATAGCTGTTGTAATGCAGGTGGAAGCTCTACGATTTGATTGCGAACTCAAATGTCTAGGGGACTCAAATGTCCCCATACATATTTGGGGACTACAAAGTATGAGAGCCTTCGCTTAATCTCTATAACGATAATACAATAAATAGAACTATCTCATTCCTTACATAGACAGGTTCTGCTTGACACCTTGATTCAACTCTCAGCATAACAACTCATTCATATCCCTTATTCACACACACATATGTATAACACTTTCCGGCAGCTGCAGCGAACAACTTTTCAATTCAGAACTCGATTAAATGCAGAGCAACAAAATGTCCAACTTCGAGTTGTGGCGTTGTCGCAAAGCGGAAGTTGACAATCGCATCTACACCGACTGGCTTATGTCGAAAGAAAAATGAAAAACAACAATCCAAATGAATAAGTAGCTAAATTAAAGCGAGCGACATCAAGATCGATTTTTGGCTAATTCTCTTTCAGAGTGTTAGCCATGATTGGCTTTGAATGAAAATCGGCTCTGACAAGAGATCACAGTGCGAGCAGCTCTTTACCTTCGGCAACAGGTTGTCTCTCCCTGTACGTGTGTGTGAGTGTGTGTGTGTGTGTGTGTGTGTGTGTGTGTGTGTATGGACTGAAGGATAACCAGTTGAGGTAGAAACACTGGCCACAGTCACTAAATTTGCTCATGTCGCTGGTTTGGGTTAACGACACAGAACAGCGGCTTGTTTTCAAGATATGCATGGAAAACTACAAATTACGCATACGCCGCATGGGCCGCTCGCTTGGCAACAGCAATAGCGCAGGCAGCGCAGCGCAGCGCAGATAAACTATCTTGACGCTTTACGATTACAAAATGAAGGCAGGCGAGAGCAAAAATAAATCCGAATCTCAATCCGAATCCGAAACGCAACTCAAACGAGTCGAAGCTTGAGTCGACCCACAAATGTTGCATGTGTTTGAAATCAGTTTAAGGTGAATTAGATTTTCACACACACACACGCACACACACACGCACATACACGCACACAGACAGAAGATTGACGAATATTTAGTCACAGCCTGTGCTTTGCATATGCGCAGAATTATGAAATTAGTCTCGGTCTCCATTCGCTGCCAAATCGAAATGGCATTAAATGCAAACTAGTAGCAGAGCAGAGACGCTGAGGCTGCCCGACTAGCAAATACCATGCAAACAGAGACGAGCTGTCACTAGAGGCGAAGCCATTGATATCCTGTCGAGTAGAAGCGAGTGTTTTCATCAATTATGCCTTCCGTTTGTACACGATCCATTATTGATTGACTGAATATGAAATGAAGAAGAGAGAAACTCATTTTTTGCAGTGTCTTTTGAATAAATAAACGAATTTCTTTGTACTACATATAATACCTAGTTATATGAATATGAATGAGTATATGTTTCCAGCACGATATGAGTGTATATTTTATTCATTTGCAAAATAAATATATATATTTAAATATAAACAGAAATGCATATGCCCCTGCCGACAACTTTTCATTGGGTTCAAGGTGCAAACACCAAATGAACTTTAGCGCGCGTTACGTTTTCGTTACGTGACTGTCGAATTTAATTTGGATTCGCATTGCCTCGACTGTCGCATCCCCTGCATTTGCATATCAGCATCAGGAAGCTCTCCAACTCACATATCCTGCGAGAGAAAAGTCTGTGCAAAGTACAGTGAATCCTTCCTCTAGCAAACAGTGCACAGTGATCAATTTCGTGATAATTCGTTAAGGCATTGCGTCTTTAATAGACTTAATTGATGTCAACCTCAAAGAAGAACATCCGCATTTAAAATATATGCAGCATTTCGAAAGACGATTTAATCCATTAGTAGTTATCTGGCTTTGCATTTGGCAGCTTCACAAGCAAACTTTGGCTCAAAGAATAAATTGAAAAAAAAAAAAAACATAGAAATAAAAAAACATATTATATATATCAAAGCGGAAATAAAATGTTGAAAAAATATTTCGAGCAATCTTAATACATTCGAAATTGTGAATAGAAATGAAGTTCAATAAATGAACAGGCAGGTGGGCGTGGCAGACCCCACAAATTATCTACACTTTCAATCAAGGCAACGAATTAGTTAATCTGCCTGTCTACATTGAGTATGTAGACTCCTGTGATGAACACGCAGATTCTGAATATGAATTTAATAATTTGGATGCGTTCTCCCACTCCAACCAGCTTAAAAATCACACGCCATCATTATACGTCGTTATTATACTCGGAGCTTGCACTAAGCGACTGCATCTGGAACAAAAGTTAATCAAGTTAATTAATAAATTATTAATTTCCCATAGAGCATTCATAATGCAGGCCAAGCGTAGCCGCTTTACAAATGTGTGATTTCAGATAGATTTATGCTTATAGAAACAGCTGCGCTAGGCTGAATGAGAGGTGTCTCCTAGTCGGGTAATTCCGACTAGCGATTGGATATTTGTAAGACTTGCACTTCTACAATATATAAATAAAAATATAATAAAAATCAATTTACTATAATTTGTACACTTAAAAAAAAAATAAGATTTTGTTATAAATTAAAATAAACCTTTTTTGATTTTGTCGTAAATCTCAATAAACAGTTAGTTTTAGGAAATAAAGTCAATCTTTCAAAAATGATATACCATACAGCCCTATGATCATTATTTTCGCAGGCTTTCTACGTCACCTTCAATTATGTTTTCCCATTTTAATCAAATAAAACCCTGATACTTTATAAGAGTTTTGGCTGTATAATTTGCACAATTTGTAAATCAAGCAAATAATATTTGTGTAATCTGATCAGACACTGAATAGCTGCACTAGATATTACTATGGTGCAATATTCCATTAGCCATACAAGCTGAGTTTGTTTCGCTATTGTGGCTGGAGACTTGAAGCATGAAAATTATGAATGGAGTAACCCCAAATCAGATAAAAAGCTAAGATTATGCGGCTCATGATATGTTTATGTGGCTGTTTCTGTTTCTGGGATTGGCCGCAACTACTTTTTGTCAGGCAGATCTTCAACTTGAAATATGTGCTGGTTACAAAGGGTTAATATTTCTGTTATGTGTGATCTCGTAGTCTAAGCGACGGAGGCGGAAAAGCTTTTTTAGATGAAAAGGTCAAAGCTTAACATATCTGAAATTATTTTCAGTTCTTCAAGCAGCGAAAGACATGCTTGATAATGATATTCCTAAAGTATTTCTGAAGTTCCATTCCAGCTGATGAAATAGCGATGTCTCAGCATGAGAGTAAAGAGTATCATCTATTCGGTCAGTCCGAGCTCATGCCGAGTGCATTTAAATTCTCATTTAGGTGTGTTAAAACTATTTAAGATTGTTAATTTGAAAGCACTGTTTTTTGGATCGTTATAAATCCTGTTCGACCGCTTGACTGCAGTCTATATAGTTAATTATACTATTCATTTCAATTCATTTGGCCATTAAATTGTTCCACTTTTTGCAGCAACATGCAACGATTTATACATGTATATATATATATATATATATATATATATATATATTTATATATGTAGTACTTCTTACTAAGCCGTGGCTTAGCACAGCTTAAGAGCTAAGTAGATGTTAAGAAAACAATCTGCGATTTGTTAAGCTGCTAAAACTACTCGAGAAAGAGAGGATGCCGGGAGGGAGTGAAAGAGAACGACTTGGACTTATGCATCTATTGTTTCTGATTTTTAATAATATACAGCACATCTTGAAATTCCGTATAATTATATGCATACCCACGCCTTCTATATATAGCTCATAATGTATGCAAACTCCTACAGAATCTTGCTCTAAAGCTGTTCCGCCACTTCGAGCAGAGCCAATTACGTTTATTCAAGCTGATGCGACTGCAAAGGTCCCACTCGGACACTCGGAATGCGGAATTCGGCTATTCAAAGTGTTTAGACCAAGGGGTTGAGTAACTTGTTTGCTGAGGATACTCGCAACAATGCAATCGACTAGCCAAGGCGCAGACGAGCTGCTGGGGGCCTTAGGTGCGCTACAAATCGAAAGGTGCAATAAAATGCAAGAGCTGCAGACGAGCTGCAGATGCAGATGCAGATGCAAATGCAGATGGGTAGCAGCTGCGCAGATTGTGTAAGCCTAATCCTGCTGCCCACAGCCTACGACTAACAATCTGACAGACTGTCAGGCGAAGCAAAGTGCGCACTGCGCAGTTGCACCGCAAAGCGGAAATCTTGCTGAGTGCCTGAATGGCTGAGTGGCGGTAGCCGATGGTAAGCGGGCCGAAGAGAGATTCGCGAATGATCCATGCAGGCCCAAAGCCTTCGCTCACATTCCACTCAAAGCTTCCACTCAAAGCGCTGCACGGCCAACGGCGTCTGCTGCTGCTTTTCGGCTTTGACTCACTTTCGTTTTTCAATTTTTTTGAGTGCAGCGTCACAGTCAAGGCGTTAAGCGTCTGACGCCGAAACGCGAGCAGCGGCCACCAGCAACAGCAACAACAGCAGCAGCAGCAGCAGCAGCAACAACAACAGCAGCAACAGCTGCTCGCCTCCAAGCGTCTACTGAGCAGAGCTGCTGCTGCTGCTCGGTGCTGCTCGCTGCTGGCGTCGCAGTCACTTGAGGCGGCTCAGCGCTTTGTTCGAGCTTTAGTCGCTAGTGTATGATAAAATCACGTTAGTAATCAATTGCAAGCTCACCAGCCAAGACCGCATAGCCAGCGCCAGTTGCAAAAAGGTCCCAAATATTAATCAAAAAACGAAAAGAAAAAAAAAAAAAACAATATATATATACCAATTTGAAAAAGAAAGAAAAAACAAAGTTTGAAATCGTATAAAAGCATAACTATTGTATTTAAACAACAAGCGAAAGAAAAGCGTTTTCGTACTCGCCGCCGTTGCTACCCGTCGCCGTCGCACCAAACGTGAGGATATACTTTACACACACACATACACCAGCATACGCACACACACACACACACACACACATAAACGTAACGTAATCTTGAGCTAGGTAAAACAAAACAAACAAGCAACAACAACAACAACTGCAATATTGCAGCTAATGCAAATGCAATAACAACAACAACAACAACCGCCAAGCCGAAAATAGTTACAACAAGCGCAAATTCCGCAAGTTTCGCCCAACATACACATATATATATGTATTTATATTTATATGTATTGAATACATGAGCCAAAACACAACTAAATCCAAAAACCAAGCCAAACCCGAAGAAACGCTTAAAGTTTATGACGAAATTCATTTAATTAAATTTACTCTTGTTGCATATTTAAATTCATTTTATTTTATGTTTTTTTTTTATGATTTTTTTGTTTACATTTTTTTTCTGTGCTGTGCATATTTTTTGATCGAAAAGCCGAAACAAAATTTACGCGTGTGTTGAACTTTTTTTTTTTTTTTTTAAATATATTTTTTTTTTTTTTTTTTTTCGTACTCGGCCTATGCCGTGCCCATACAAATGGATTAAAGGGTATCATAAGACCTTGTGCAGTACGAGCGCACGAACAAACGAACGACGAGAGATAGACAAACACGATATTCCAGATGTGATATACGATACGATAACAAAAGTTTATTCATGCCGACAAATTGCCAAAAACAACATTGAATCTAAAGAGTTTATTATGATTATTAGATGAGCATAGAGTATATTTAAGAGGACGGGCAAGAGGAGCTTCAACGCAGAAGAGAGCAGAACTATTTTGCATAGATAATCCAATAACAAAATCTGTGTATATTTGCATATATAGAAAGAAAAGGACAAGAGAGAGACAGAGAGAGAGAGGAGGGATTCCCCGTATAACCAATTTCGAAATTTTATTACTTCCATCATCTATTATTTCAATCGTTTAATATAGAGAGGAACTAGCGGCCTTGATTAACATCAGTTTTAGCTTGAAAGACCTATATATACTATAGCATATGTTTAGCATGTTATTATGTAAATCTGAAACACCATAGAGATAGAGGGAGGTAATCGATGCAGGCGAGCTTAAAGATTAGAAGACAGGCTATAGTAAGACAAGCATGCATCCAATTTTAGCTAAAGTATGCAAAGCGAAAGATTTGAAGACTTAAGACTTGAGACTTTCCATTGAATGAGGCTTTGGGCATTGGGCTTAGAATTGTCATAGCTCCTATAGAGTCGTATTCGAAATAAAATACTCAAACAGGCAAATTGGAAGACTTAAGACTTCACTAAGACTCACATTTAGCTGTTCAATCTAAGAATTGTCTCAGCTCTTATGTAAGCTCGAGCAGAGTCACATTTGAAACAAAATAGAAAAGTCTCCAAGCTCAGCTTCTCTGGCTTTCAAAAACCCAAAACTCTAGCCATGGCACGATCGCATCATTACACAAATTGTTTGGTCAATGCGCGGCAGCTGCTGCCTCTACCGCAGCTGCTGCCTCTACCGCTGCCGCCGCTGCTGCTGCTGCTGCTGCTTTAATTGCAGAGAGACAATTTTTCGAGGTGGAGTACGTGGACAATGACAGGAAGTCGAGGCTTTGGCATTAATTAGAGGCAGCAGCAGATCGCGCCAGTGTAACACAAGAGTGCAGCGTCACTTTGGGGTCCGTGTCATTCAAGCCACGCCCTGTTGCAAAATCAGCTTCGGGCCAGCCGCTAATCAGACTTTACGGATTTCTTTTTTGTTAGGCTATACCCCTTGAAAAGCGGGCGAGCGCAAAGGGGTAGCACGGCAGAAAGGTGAAGCCACAATAGAGTTGTATTTTTATAGTTTTGAATAGATGTTCAAGCCCGTCGAGTATTGACAGTTTCGTAGGCTAGCTACAGATCATAGATACTCCTCCACTGTTTACGGCACTTGCTAATGAATCTGACGGTAGCTCCCAGTCGAGCATGCCCGATTTTGATTCACTTTGGCTCTTTGCTCGTATTTATTCAATTCATTAATAGACTATTTACAGTGTTCGGCATATGTAGGTCAGTTTTGAATATATGAATATATGCATTAAGTGGCATTTCAATGCCAGCTGGGCAGCGCAATCAGATCAAAGGTATAGATATAGATAGTATTCGCTGCTAAATTAGCAATAGTTACCACACAGATGGCCAATTGCTAGTGTGCCAAAAAGCAGGGGAAGAGAAAGATGAATATTGGGGCTTTAGTTAAAAAGTAAAAGCAGATACATTAAAAATTTGCTGCCAGATGACATAACCATTGTGGCCAAGACGTCAAACGGGCTTCGTTGTCGTTTATTGCCGGTTTCTGACAGCTCTCGCAGTTAACACTCCACGGCGACTCTCCCGCGCGGTGTTGACAACCTTCACTCTCCCTTTCTACGCTGCCCAGCGTGTTTCGGCTTTGCTCCCTCTCTCACTCACGCACTCTCTTTTCGCGTCTGTCTCTGTCCCACTTGTTTTGCTTCGCTTCCATTTGGCTCTTGGCTCTTGGCGCTACGCCCTACTTAATAGTCGCTGACCGTTGGCCGTCAGCCAGCTAATCAAAGGCCCACCGAGCACTACCTGTGCCGCAGTTCCCGCCTAGATGAGTCGGCGCTAGCGAGGATCCATTCCAGCTGACTCTGAGGCTGAGGCTGAGGGTGAGGCGGATGTAGAGCTGCGAAGGTCACTATAAAAAGGGCATTGATCGAAGTGCACCTGCTGGGCATATGACTAAAGCTGTCCAGTCTAAGGTCTAAGCCCTTAGCTACACGCAGTCATATAGACATTTCTACTAGCCGCAGCTGAGGCAGTACAATGTTTACTTTGATCTCAGTGTCAGCTCCCTCTCCCTCTCCCTCTCTCCCTGCCGCCCTCGCTCTTGATTAGAATTCCGCAATAATTGAAATTTCTCTACTGACAAGTCATTGTCAACATTTAGTCATATATTAGTATGCATAATCTGTATAATTAGCGTTGCCAATTGGCCATCATCATTAGGCATCGTTTAAAATGGCATTGCAACTGGCCCCGCTTCAGATAACGCTATAGTTTTAGAGATATATCCATTAGCTTTTCGCCACATTTCGTACAGTTTTAATATCTTTATTTCTCTTTCGCCATCGCCTATTCAAAGGTTTAGTTTTTCCATTTTGTTGATTTGCAGCGAATTTCTTAAAACTCTGCTTAAAGCTTACACACACACACACACACACACACAGTGTGTGGAGCACCACTCGCTTAACGCCGTTGGCGTCGCTGTCGCTGTCGCTATCTCTGCCTCTGTCGACGTCTGCGCTGTCTAAATAAAATTACATAATTCTTATTGCGGCGTTTTCTGTTGTTGTTGTGATTTATAAATTGCTTTAACTGTTTTTGTTGCTTGGCTGTTGCAGTTGTTGTTGTTGCTGTTACTATTGTTGTTGCGCACACTTTCCACACATAAATCGCATTACTCATACGACGTGTTGCCCAAGAAAGGTTCAATATTTAAACTTGACACACACTCGAACGACACGCCTAATCGAGCCACTTAAACGACAGAGCACGTGTAACGGACATGCACAAGAATGCAAACCTGGCTACTCAATTTGCTAGCACACTAATTAACAACAACAACAAGCCAGTGGACTAGGCGTTAGACCTTGCACCGGCCCTAAGCAGAAAAGTGGCCAAAGTCAAAGCGAATCTAAGCCAGACTTGCAGATATTTTGTATTTGGTGCTTACACACACACACACACACATACATGTATACACATGTATTTACATGCACACACCTACACATACACCTATTGGCGCTGGCTAGAGAAGACTAAGAAATTGAAATATTCTTAGCCACGCTTTTATTTGCGGATAGTCCCATCTTATCTATTTTCTCATCTTATCTATTTTCTCATCTTATCTATTTTCTTATCTTATCTATTACAGATCCTCCTTTACACTTTGCTATCAACAACAAAATGTGGCAGCCGAGTACACAGCATTTCCTGGCGCTGATCTTCTGCAGCGCCGTCTGCCTGCTTAGCGCAAGTCCTCTTCCATTGCCCGCTGGCAATCAGGAATTGGATGTTCTGCAAATTCCCCTAGGTAACGGAAAGGTAAGTCGAAAGCATAAATATATCCATATATAAATAGGAAGAGACAATGCAGGCTGGGTTGCTTGGAACAGACAGACATTTTCTACTCTACTCCAACCAAATTAAATAATATCTTGCAATATATCTGAATACGTGGCAATGGGCGAAAAAAAGAAGAAAAGTGGGGATAGAAGCGAATAGATAGGCGATATTTTAAGAATAAATGAAACATTTTCATGACTGTCCTTGTGACTGAGGGGATACCTTGACGTACTCTCTCTCTCTTTGATAGACCATGTGTAGAGGACCTTACCAAATGTTGTTGCTCTGGCCTCACCGATTAGCCACGCCTCTGCCAAGGCTTTTAACTAATAGGCACTTTGTAGGCATATAATAACACTTTATAATACAAAGGTACATAGAAGTATATGTTCTAGATTCCAAGTGGTTTACGTGCATAAGGACAGACGAATGGACAGCAAGGCGGATGGGGTATAAACGAAATATTTGTTAATTTATTCGCAAATCTCTATTAATGTTAATGGAAGATTAATATAATATGAAATGAACTGGGGCCTTTGGCTTTGCAAATCCAATATACTCTTTTTTTCTGCGTGAATGGGTGTAAAGGCGGGAGAATGGCACTGAGTATTTGCCGCTTGAGTTGTAGCAAAGGCTTTAAAATACTGGTTGCATAATACAAGCAGGAAAACGGATGTAAAAAGTCAATGAAAAGACATAAACTTGAGATGCATAAAGTCCTGACTTGTGCCATTCATATAAATGCGCCAGGAAACTATTCGGATAAAGTAAACTGCAGACGAGCTGCCCATCCACATGGAGCACGACATTTATTGAGCATATTGGCTGAACACTTCCTGCTTGATTGTCTGAGTTATGGCAATGATCTTCAGCGGCCCAAAAGTAGCATTTTTCGCTTGGGACGGTGCACGCGCTCACATTACGTATACGTCGTGTGCTCCTGCTGCCCTTTCATGCTGCAGGCTGTTGGCTGCTGGCTGCTGCTGGCTGCTGCCGATCTGCGCTGCGGTGGGCTGGCGAGTGACTTAATGGAGTTGGTTGTCCAACAAGTTAGTCGAGCTTGGGCAGCAAATTTTCCTTTTACTTTTCGGCTGCAGCTGGAACAGAGGCCGGAGAAAATGCAGGTCTTGGGGTCTATGTGCCACTAAAGTCGAAGTCGAAACCCGCACAACCAGTTTGCCTGATACCAATTGCAAGGAAGTTGGCACACTTGCTACCAGTTTGCACGGCTTGCACTGGCTTTAGAGCAATGGCCCAGACATGTGGCTTGGGTGTTGGCCCAATCCGCGTAATCCCCGCTTCAAATGCGCTCGACTCCGACTGGCTGGCTCTGCGTCTGGCTATCTGTCAAAATGTCCATGTACAATCACAGAATTATTTAATGGCCCCCCAAACAATTATGAATTTAGAGTCTATTTCAGACTAATTTTGCTTTCATATTGGACAATTTAATTGCGCTTTCAAAATCTGCAGCAAAAAAAATATATATATATGTATGTATATATATGAGTAAATCTGACATAGTCCAAACGAGCAGCCAGTGGATAATTTTTGCATCCATCGATGCCAGCTGCAATTTGTCTCATTCATACATTGTGATTAGCACCTAGGTCACTGTTTAATTGTCGATTACGCGCTGATTTGTTGGCCAAGACAATTGAGGCAATCATCGGCATAGCCCAGACCAACTTTACGGAATAATATGCCAATTACGGTTGATTTGCATGACTTTTGCTACCTCGCTTGAATTGGCGATGTGACTGAGCTGAGTGAATATCCAAGATGTAAAGCTCTCCTGGTTTGAACTGCCAGAAATACATCTAGCCTGCCAATAGCTCTATAGACATACGAAACTGCGGACGCAGAGATGGACTGGTGAAAGAACGGAAGGAATGACACCGTCTTCTATCAGATTAAGACTGATAGAAGGACGATCCGAATTACGAATGAAATGAGTGACAGACAGGACAGGACAGTGGAAACGATGGAACATAACTGAGAATGGACCGTAAGACGAGCGGAAAGAAAAGGATGTAGAGAAGGAGCCAAGAAAGACAGGCCAACAGAGAGTGAGAAAGAGAGAATGTGTGTAAAAGAGAGAGAGAAAGAGTGTAAAAGAGAGAGAGCGAGAGAGAGTGTAAGAGAGAGAGAGAGAGAGAGAGTGTGTGTAAGAGAGAGAGAACAAGACGAAATGATCGAGAAAATTAACAATTGAAGCAGTTAGTCAAGCCTCCTTCAGTATATCACAAGTAAACATAACACTCTGCTTACCCATTGTGCTGTGAGTAGAAACCCAGCAGTCTATGTATATGTATAACAGATCACAGAGTGTAAGCCTCAAACTAGCCATGTGTACCTCCTCAGAGTCCCGAAGAATCCTTTGACATTGCATCTATAGGCACTTTCCGCCTAGAGTATTTGCATAGTGTGTCTCTATGCATTTTCATTTAATTTATTTAACTATGAAATGATATAGCTTCAACAAGGGCAATTGAAGCGCACTGACTTTCAAATGGCAACAGCAGAACTAGCTGAAGTAGCCTCAGCATCAGCAGCAACACGTCAACCCAGACAATCCAACAATTTCCTCTGTGGGATTGCCCCCTAGTGACACACACACACGCATACCCACTGCACAGAGAGACAGCGAGAGATAGAAAGAGACAGAGAGAGAGAGGGAGGGACAAGTTGAGCAGCTCAGCTGGCGCAGTGGGTACAGCTGCCTTATATAATCTTTCAGCTAGCTGCTCGTCGAGCAACAAGCACACATCACGCATACGACGCGTTGTGCCCCGTATGCGCCGCGACGGTAGCCACGGCAATTGCAGCCTGTTGTTACCAATATAACATGTTGCTAGCACACAGCACAGTAGCAGCAGCTAGCACGCAGCGATTATAGTATATTGTTGCTGTTATGCTTGATGTTGCTGCTGATGCTGCCATTGTTATGGTAGACAATTTGTTACTAGCTGCATTTTCAAGTGGCAAACGAGACGCGCTTGGCAGTCAGTCATTAAGTCGCAGCCGCTTGCGGTTGCCGTTGACGACGAATCAGCGCGTTCCAGTCGGCTGCAACCGACTGCGAAATACCCGTTTGCAAATAGATAAATAGCTTGCAGTTCATATTAGCCATAGAAGATGCATAAGCCTCAGAGCAGCCCCTATCATGTCGCTCCATAAAATATGCATTATCTTCAGCCTCACATTCCTTGGGCAAACAGCCTAGGCTATGCGATCTATTTAATAAGCAGCCCATGCACTCTCCACTCTGAAACGTGGTGTATGCCACACAGTCACACAGGCCACATCGCCTGCTGTCAGCCTGCTCCAAATGCCACTACGACAAATCTATTATTAATATATTTTGTGTGATCGATAATTTCCGACATGGCTATAAAATCTTTGTCTGATTCGATAAGCTGGGAAATGTCTGCTGCATGTTAAGTGCATTTACACAACCAGCCTCGTGTGAGGCAAATGGCAAGTGTGCCCAGCTAGGAGATACCCTGCAGCTAGCCCGATTTCACAATAAACAGAAGACTTAGTCAAGCATGAGCTTTTCATAGTGTCGGACTCTAGTGAAGAAAAAACTAGAAATATGACTGTGTGGGGGTGTGTGTGGGTGTGTTTGGGTGTGTGTGGGTGTGGGTGTGTGTGGCTGTGTCACTGTGGGTGAGCAAATATATATGCATTTAAATATTTTAATATATATCTGGAGTATTTTACATCAGACTTGGACCTAATACAGTAGAGGTGGGCGAATCATTTGATTAAACTTACTTTTTTCGATTGATTATATTTATATAATCTTCTTCAACATCATGTTTATGCGTGCAACAGTTTGCCTTGAATAAGTAGTTCGACTTATGGGAGCTCACTTGCCCAACAGATTTCTATGTAAATTTTATGTGCAATGTGATTTACGCCGATTTGCTTTTATTATCACATAAAATGCAGGAACACGTTTTTATGTCATTTTGGAAAAACTTAAGTAAGTAAAGTTTAAGATCTGAGAAGTGGGGCTGCAAATTTGTGGAACAAATCTCAAAAGCTCAATAAAAAAAAACTCTCTCAATTTTATCTTCTTTTCAAGAAATTAATTGAAGTCTGAAAATCCAATTTTTAACTGAAAAACAAAAAAAAAAAAAAAAAAAAAAAAAAAAAATAAATAGTTTTTGCAAAAGCGTCCAAAACAGTTTTGTATGTAAATCTGTGGAGTTCAACAATTATATATAATTATATAAACTAAAGGTTTGCTGGTAAAGCCATAATGTGCGAACACCTCTTCGACCAACCAACTAATTATTAGTGAGAGGCTGTGCTAAAGTTGTGTCAACAGCGTGCGTTTTAGTGATCATTGGTCGTAGGCTCGCATCAGGTTTACTTCGGGTCTTGGACTCGATCGCTCAGCCTCAGGCAGAGTACAGCGTGTTTGTCCTTCACATTTCAACTGTGCCATTATGACGCAGCATGGGGCACTTGTTATACGATCCGAAATAAAAATTACAAAAACAAAAAAAAAACAAAAACAAAAAAACAATACCTCAATACTGTTGCTGCATGATTTTAAAGTACTCGAAGCAAGTTACTAATTGGACTTGAGCAATGATCAGCTCAGCTCAGCCCCGCTCGGCTTGTCATTATGCGGCTGTGAGCATAAGCATCAGCACTTATGTATTATTTATAAGGCAGTGGAGTTTATGCACTTACAAAGCGCATAATCAATTTCAGCTGTGCGTGTCGATCCTTTAAATATTTAGCAGTTTTTTAGTCTCGCATTAGTTTCTAGGCTAAGTCGCTGTGCTTAACTGGCCATAATGAGGGCTAATTGAAACTGTGAGCTGATCATTTAAGCTGTCGCAAAAGCTTTTATACTATTTAAGCTAATGGCCACATTCCAATTTATTGTGAACTTGAAAGACGAAGGCTCTCCACTAATAGACAGCTCCGAATACAAAAACTGCCCTTGTTACCTCAGCTGAGGCAGAGTGCTCGAAGATTCCATCTGCAGGTGCGGAGCCGAGTCGGAGTCGATACTGACTTATCCAGATATAGTTTGAGATGCATTGCTTAGCGCTACAGTCTAAGGGACATGAATGAGATATGATATGAAATCACTTTCATGTGGAGATATATCGACCCATCCTGCTTAGTATATCTCACATCTGGCTCGTAGAGTATGCCGCATTCGTTGTCGCTCTGTGTTTCTTTCTCTTTTTTCTGTGTTTCTATATTATTTTCTGTTTCTCTCAGACATTAACATATATTAAGTTGGTTAAGGTCAAACAACTTATCCGAACAGACGCAGATTAATGTGTGTCTTGAATTTTATGTTAATGCGTGGCTGAAGTCCACTAATGAAGTATGTTTTGTCAAATTCATTTATTTGTTCACTCCAATAAAATGCGATAATATCGGGGTGCCAAAGCTGAAATAATCAAATTGTCATCTAAGTCGAGACATCACAATGGTTTTACCTGTACCCGTAGCCCTGGCCCTCATTTTCAGCCTCATTCATTAATGTGGTAGAGATGCTCGAGTGATTCGGTAGATCCGAGTTTCGGCTCGAGGTCCACACACTTTCCGGACTACGAAAAGTTCACCCATTGAACTAGTTAAACCGCTTAGCCGGAGTCTTCTTCAATGGGAATCGGTTACCTTCGGCCGTAAGCCGCAACTAACTTCCAAACTGTTTCGCTATGAACTATTGATTTTTGCAAATTGCGTGGGCGAGAATGGCGTAACCGCAAACAAAATATGCGGGCCCTTGCTTCGAAACTTTCCGAATATATCGCTTTTTGCGGTTTCCCAGCTAATTTACGTGGGCTTGCAATTTTAGCACTCTGTCTGATGCGATTATACCCAAATGTATACAGACATATGTATGCATGCATACCTATTCTGTATATATTTTTAATTTACAGTCTCTAGTCTGAAAGGCCCTTGAAATATATCTATTCGTTCAAACAGTCGAACGAAAGGCTATAATTTGTAATACCCATACAAAATTTGTATCGACAATGATAACTAAATTCACAAGAAGAGCAAAAATATTAGTTTTAACACAAAAATATATAATACAATAATCATAATTATTTAAAATAACAATGACAATGATAATGAACAAAAATATAAAAATTAAAGAAAAAACACTGAAATTAAAATTGATGATAAAATCAATAAAAGGAGAAATTTAAAAAATATAAAATCGTTTTTAAAGACACATTTTGCTATTTAAATATATATTTGTATTAAAGAATGATGTATAATAAAATATAATAATTAAACCCGAAAAAAATAATAAATGCTCATATTAATATTATTTTTAATATTACTTTGTAATTATTTAATCAAGAAAAAATATTTGTAAAGCAAATTTTTTAGCTCACATAAATATTTTGAGATAAAATTATTTATTTAAAATTATTATTAATGCTATGGACCACAAATAATTTTAATATATCTTAATACCCTATATACAAATGATATATGATATTTAAAATAATTAATAGTAATATAGATAATGGTATTAATTTGAAGCTGAACAATCTAAACTTTGAATCAAATCTCAAAATTTAGTTTTGGGTTAAACACAAATGTTTTCACGAAAGATTCGTAAACTATATCGTTTATTTACATATGCATACGTATGCATACATATATACATATATAACCACTGTGCGTTAAAAATAACACTTTTGTCTGATTACCTTATTGACAAGCCTCTTCCGTCCTCAGCACTAATTGGTATCCAGTGTAGGTACACAGCAGCAATGACTGCGGCTGCTATTTAAAATGCACAGCGTTTGCTTTGATGACGTCGCCTGGAATATATACAGATACACACATACAGATATAGATATATGTACATATGTATCTCATGCTACTTTGCTTTGATTGTATTCGAGTCAGTTTGGCCAATTTGAAATTCATTAAGACTAGCAATAAAAATCAAACAACTTTGGCCCAAGAGTTGTTCCTTTCCTCGTTAAAACTTAACAATTGTCGCACCAAGTTGACAAACTGTTTAAATATGATAGATCATTAGGGGCAGCAGCAGCAGCAGCAGCAACAGCAGCAGGGGCAGCTGAAGGGCCGGTTCACCAGGTGACGGTGCACAATAGAGAGCGGCCGGCAGTCCAGAGATGACAATAGCAAAACAGTTTGCTGCTGCCCATACTGAGAAAAGTTAGTTTTTCTTTTCTTTATAGCTGCGGTCGCTGCCGCTGGCATTAGCTTCCGTCCGTGTATAAAGGCAACTTCCGCGCTGACTTTTGAGACAATTAAACACACAACAATAACAACAATAACAACAATGACAACAACAACAATAACTACAATAACAACAATGACAACAACAATAACAACAACGAATCAGGTAACTCGCAGATTAACGTCTCGCTAAGCAGCCAGCTCCGCCTGGGAATACTATTGATAGTTGTTGCCAGACAATGGACTCACATTAAAGTGATTTAACTGTATTTAAAACTACTTCAGCTCTGTGCAGTACTCACTGAGTACCAACACAAGTACATATTCACTGATACCCCGGAGTCAAGAAGTCAATCCCGTGCCCGCCTCAGTGGGCAGAGCGGGTATATTAGCTTTCCGTTATGTTCGCTGTACTTGGTTACTTTTGGCTGTAACACACAAATAATTCATATTTTAGTATATATTATAGTTGAAATTTAGTCAACAAAAATCGGATCATATGATGTGATATAACATATATCAATCTCACGCCAGTCTTTCAGATGCTTGAACTTAATTTTGTCTAACATGAAAACTCTTTCTTTTACATATATCTTCTCTCTCTTCATTTATACCTCTTATTATTAAGCCTCTTTCGCTAATGATAGTTCGAATTTGTTTCACTTTTTCGTAATACGAAGAGTTTTTCCTTCTCTTTCTGAAAGTGCAATAGGGAATCCTTTTTTAAATCAAACACAATCTTTACGTATTTCAGTCCCTCTCCCTCTCTCTTTACTGATGCCTGTTTTAATTCCTCTCTTTCTCCGATGATTTTGATCAGATTCAGAACATTTGCAGTATAAACTTAACTTAATTCAGTTTGATTTAATTGCCTTTGGGATAGCTAGAAGAAGTTTCTAAAATTGAGACCACTATGCACTTGCATAGTACAAAAATGCTGTCTATCTATGCATACAATAGAGTTACCTAAGAGCTTCTATATAATTGAAAGATGAGCTCGAAGACTAATATTAATATATTATTAGTCTACTGTAAGGAAATCAAAATCAAGGCTCTATATATACAAATTTGGATGATAAATTCTCTTATATGTTCCTATACCTACATATATAACTGAACTGCACAAAATTGTCGAAAACTAAATTGGTTGGGATACAAAAAAAGAAGAGAAATATGGCAACCCTGTGGCTCGGTGAAAGATATATTTAGCTTTTCGCAATTTCGGGCCTTGTTTTTTGTTGCCGGGCGCTTATATATTGCTGTACATATACCAATTCGAATATGTTTAACCCAATATAAACAAATGGGCATATTTAGCCGAGCATTGTACTCCACTGAAATGCTCTTCGGGTACTTGGTTAGCGAAAATGAATGACAACAAAAAAGAACAAAATTCAAGTTGAATTGGTAAAGCGTCTGGGGTTGGGGTACCTGCATATAAGATTGTTGCTGCTGCTGCTGGGTAGCAAATGCAAAAACAATTGTTATAATAGGCAAATGCAATCATCGTTGCAGCTATTGCATGTCCAATGACTCGTGCTGTTGATTGTCCAAGTCATCTCGTACGGCTGCCATGCAAATTGAATGCACTTAAAATATTTTTGTGCAATATTTTCTTGGACTTAGCTTCGTCGCAATTGTCATTAATGTTTACAACTTTTTGTACCAGTCATTTACCCGGGAATCCGCTCTCCTTCTGTCTCCCTCTCCCTATCCCCTCTCTCTCTCTCTCTCTCTCTCTCTCTCTCTCTCTCTCTTTCGCTCGGTCTCCCTGCCCGTGCTTGTGTCTGCCTTTAAGTGGAAACTGTGCAAGTTATGAACAAGTTTTTGTTGTCCGGCGGCTAAAATGACTACAGACTATCGAGCGGGGGCCCTAACTGGGACACTCAAGAGCGCTGACTGAGTGCAGATTAAGGCCGAGTTCATCAGGTGAACAAAAGAGGAAACACAACTTGGCGGCTTACTGAAAGCTTACCAAAAACTAAACACTTTTTGGATCTCTTTGGAACACAGCGAGCCCATTGAAAATAGTTGAAGAACGAAAAGATGTAATTATCAAATTTATAAAGCTGGCTGAGCCTCGCCGGGCGTCAGCTCCACTTGTGAAATATAAAAGTATTCAGCAATATAAAGTACATTAAGTATAGAAAGTACATATAGATCAAAGGGATATAAAGTATGTGTGGTATATACATTTTATAAAGTATGTAAAGCAAAATGTAAAGTAAATAAGGTAAAGAAAGTATATAAATTCTAAAAAGTACATAAAATATATAAAGTACATGGAGCATATGAACAACATTAGGCATATAATGTCTATGAAAATATAAAGTATACAAAGTGTAGAAGGCGTAAAAAAGTCTATTCGAAGGTAAAACTCTAAAAGTATCTGGATATAGCATAATCTATTTTCGCTATATGCTATCATATTTATCAGAGATGAAAAATTCTCATTTTATCGTACATCATCGATTATTATAGAGCTTAAGCTCTAGCTCTAAAGTAAGTTTGATTATTCTCTCATATTTTATTAATGTTAGAGATAATTTATTTAGTGAAAATAGATTACTGGCTAATATCAAATTCAGAATTTTGTTCCTATTTAATGGGAACATTCTATAGAATGTCAAACTAATTAAACTTATTAATCCTACGCTTTAGATAATAGGAAAAAATACTAATTAGAACAGCAATAGAACATAAAGGTCAATTTATAGTTATTATGCTATTGATAGTATTTTCTTAATATAACTATTAGTATTATTCAAATATCTCTTTGGACTGCGCTAGCTATTCTAGATTTATATTTTCTCAAATATATATTTTCTCAGTAAAATATGCGTGTAAGCATAGACTTACATACATTCGTACACATCTATAATAGATATTACTCAGACTGAGTGTCAGCCCCTCTTCCAGTACTAGCATTGAATATTTCCGGCCTGTAGAGCAGGAAATCTTATTGAAACAGCTAAATGATATTTATAAGCAGAATGCAGATAGAAATGAATTCACTCTTATCAGCTCAGCTTTTTAAAAAACAAGCGAAGCTCAAATGTCTGAAACACACTTTGCACAATAGTTACAGGGTATAGGCAAGCCTTTAAAAATTGGCAGCGTTGCCAAATGTGGGTCATTTGAATGAGCGTCAATCAGAGCTGCAATGAGAGCGCACTACAAATAATAAATATCGACAGCAGACATAAAACTTATACAAATGGCAAAGCACTAAATAGATTTGCAAACCTTTTTTTTTTTTTTTTTTTTTTTTTTGTTAAAAATTATTGCAGTTTTTGAGATTTGATTTTGAAGTGTGCGCGGTGTGTGTGTGTGTGTGTGTGTGGACTTGAAACGTGATTCCAAATGGCAGCCACAAAGCAGCCAAAAGACGCGACGAGACCACCGACTCATTGCCTCATTGTACAAAGTGAAAGTTCGTCAATTGTTGTCTATGTTGCTGCTGGTGTTGTTGTTGCTGTTGCTGCTGTTGTTGTTGCTGGTGGGCAGCAATCTTTGCGTTTTGCTGGCTCATTTTCTGTTCAGCTGTGGGGCCGTGATTTGTATTTGTATTGTATTTTAGTGCCACTTGCTGGCTTATGTAACGTGCATTACATTAAATTGTCTTTGTGTTAATTTGTTGTTGCTGTTTTTCGCTTTTCATTTGCCTTGCAGGAAATCGATGTCTTGACACTTGGCGCCAAAGATCAAGATCAGTTGATAGCCGATCGCAACAAGAGAACAATTGGACTGCTGCGCGAGCTGTTTCCGGACATAACAAAGGTGCGTATGACAATAGAGAATAGCCAGCGTAACACCCAGAGAAGCCCCCCGAAAGCCCCCTCTGCTAGGCATATCAATCAGGTTAGGCCTATATCGACTTCGATACTCGCATCTGCAGCCACGTAGATCACAGCCGAAACGAGCGCTGTTCAGCTATGCGGAGCGGTGTTCGGCTCTGTCATTGCTAATCGTTGTATTGCCCGAACATTCCCTAGGAAATCAATATGCAAATCAATCGTGTAGTCAATAATGTCTTGCAACGCGTCGGACCCGTCGTCTTGGGCACAATTCTCAATCCGGGGCTAACGAGCCCGGCGGCCCGCAAGCCCAATGCCGATGACGACGACGATAACGATGACGCTGCCGATAACGATGCGAACGATGTGGGGCGGCCGCTCGATAAGGATTACGAGAATCTACCCGACGAGCTAACCAACTTTGAGCCCGATAAGGACTTTGACAGCCAGCCGCAGGACAGTCCGGCAGGCAGCCCGTAGATTGCGTAGCTTTAGCGCTTATTGGCTCCCAATTGATCAACTAGTTGATTATCTCATTTACCCAATCAAGCTGCATGCCCTCTATGTACTATACTCGTATCCGTATTTCCAACTAGACCTACGCCACTCCACTTGTCAGTAGTTAGTGCATGAATCCACTACCCCAAGCTAGACCTTTACCTCTGCCTATACCTCTGCCTATGCCTCTGCCTATGCCTCCGCACCTACCCATGCCTATGTCAACGCCTCTGCATGCCACCTATGAAAGCCTGACCAGCTCTAACCACTACACGAAACCAAAACAGAACCAAAACAAAGCCGAAACACCAATATCCAAAGCCCAAAGCCAAACAGTAAATTAGACACATTGAATCCAACTACACATACATCAGACAATTGGCCAATCATCGAGTTGCAGTGCACAAATTTTTAAAAGCGCCTCAGACAATCAACCACAAAACAGAAATAATCGCAGAAGTAAAAAAAAAAAAAAAAAAAAAAATTAATAATAATAATAATAATACTAAAGAAAGAAAAGCCAAAAATAAAATAATAAAAAATTGGAAAAGAAAAAAAACAAAGAAGCAAAACAAAATCGAAACGAAATTGTATCATCTCAGCAGCAATTCATGGACGCCCACAGAGGCTAAAGTACAAAAGTAAAACATAAACAGCAACAAATGAACAGCAACAACAAATGAACAACAACAACAACAAGAACAAGAACAAGAACAAGCCATCATCATCTCAATTCACGGCGATACAGCATGGCTGTGAAGCCTGTGACAGTTTTTTGCATACCTCTCTGTCTCTCATTCCTAGGAAATCGACTCGATTGTCAATCGAATTATAGCTCAAGTAATACGCGTTGCCGGGCCGGGAGTGCTGAATAGCATTCTGGCCGGGAATCGCGGTGCGGGTCGCCCTACCACGCCCTCCAGCAGCTTCGACGCCGATTTCGATGACGACGGCTTTGGCGATGATGACGATGATACTGATGATGCTGCATCGACATCAACATCAACATCAACACCAACACCAACATCGACTGCATCCACACCGCCTTCCTCCGACGACACCGGCTCGCGGATCAAAATTGATTTGCCCACGGTAGCGCCGACAGCAGCGAACAAAGTGAGTGCGCGTAAGAGGCAAGACACTGTAACAGCATCAACAGCATCATTATCATCAATATCAACAAGTAGTACTACTAGCACCACTACCTCCACCACTACCAGTACCTCTAGCACTACCACCACCAATAGTCCCAGTCCTAGCCCCAGCCCCAGCCCCAGCCCCAACCCAGCCAACAAGTCCTTAACAATGGCCAGTGAGATGCCCGTCGAGCTGCTGTCACGCGTTCTGGGCATTGAGCCAATAATCAAGGCAACAACTGCAGCACCTGCAACAGCAACAGCAACAGCTGCAGCGACAGCAGCAACAGTTGCAGCTGAAGTGCCGGCAACAGATGCAACAACGAGCACTGTTAATTCCCAATTAGCACCTACCTTCGACATCATTACCTCCACCCAGTATCCCACAAATAATGACAGCAACAACAACAGCAACAACAACAACAATAGCAACAGCAACAACAATAATAATAATATCATCGACGAACCACAATTGCTTACAATTATAGCCGATATAAATCGTTTATTAAACTCTACCAATTATTTTATTACAACCAGAGATAATTTAACAACATCTCCAACAACAACAACAACAACAACAGTGGCGCCTACAATTGACAACAACAACAACAAGAACAACATTACGAAACTATTGCCCATCTATGAGTAACAACAATTGAGACACAAACACACACAACAACAGCAACAACAACAACATAAAGAGCAACAAGCAACAGGCAACAACCAACAACCAAGAACAACAACCACCAACAACAACAACAACAACAACAATCATCATCAACAACAATTATTTCACATTTTGCTGTCCCATTCACAATTGGAATTCAGCAGCAGCAGTTAAAGTAGTCTGGTCAAAAAGATACACTAAAAAGATACAACAACAACAACAACAACAAACACAAAATCTATTTTCTGTTAATTGTATTTGCATTGTTTCTGGTGAAAGCAATTTAGTTGTCAACTAACTACTCAACGATATTAACCTTAGCTGTAAGCCAAATCAAATCTTTAAGCCACATCATTTGTCCATGAGCAAACAGTTGCAGTAGTCACGCCCATGCCACCGCAACCGCCCCTCGCCCCACGCCCCACGCCCCACGCCCCACGCCCCTCGCCCCCAGCACCCTTAGCCACAGTCTCTTAAGTGGTTTGTCTGTGTATCTCTCTGTAGCTGTATATGTGTTTCTGTCCATGTGTACGCCCCGTCCACAGTATGCTAATTCGCAGCCCCTTAATTCTTAGTTGAAAAACCCAGCAGTCGAGTCAAATAAACTAACCGTTCTCTAAAATGTACCCACCAATTGCACACACGCACCGCAATTCCCGACCACCACCAACAACAACAACAACAACTACACACAACAACCCACAACAACATTGCGCACACCCCGCACCCCGCAACACGCACCACGCATCTCGCATCTCGCACCCCGTACTCCGCTCAACGCTCACCGCAAACCGCGTGCGAATCCAAAATCCAAATTTCAATCCGCATCGGCATCCGAATCCGAATCCGAACCCGACCCCGAATTGAAACCTGGTTGTTGTAGCAAATCGATGAGCAAGCGAACCGTATCATCTCCAAGCTGCTGCGCGCTCTGGGCCCCACCGTGCTGCGCACGGCCATTCAGGGCAACAGCGCGAACGCCGCCCGGCAGGACTTCGATGCGGACTTCACGGACGATGACGACGACAGCAGCAAGAGCGACAGCTCCTCAGGCTCCAGCAGCTCAAGCAGCAGCGCCAGTGGCACGCGGGTCACCATCGAGCTGCCCACCTTTGAGCCAGAGGATGAGAACGAGATTGATGCCGATGAGAAGAGCAGCAGCAGCAGCAGCAGCAGCTCCACCACTAGCACCACCAGTGCCAGCTCCGACTCCGACAGCACCACCGAGAGCTCCAGGCGACGATAATGAAATGTGCGTGTAATTTGCTACAACAACTAAGCGATGCATTCCGAAATTTCCATATGAATTGGCATTACTTTTAATGATTATCAAATTTTGTTCCGTGTTTTCAAAACAGCAGCGAAAATTGGCAAAACTGACCACAGCAACAACAACTGCAACAACCACCACCAACACGAACACGAACACGAACACCAACACCAACACCACCACAGCCACAATAGGCACTAGACTAAATACAGCAACAAGAAAATGCAATTCCGGCAATATAGAATTCCATATATTTTTAATGAACAATTTGTGAAATATTTTTATTGATGCGGGCATTCCTTATGCACTTCTAAATATTGTCTTTGTACTCTAAATATATACTAAATATATTTCAAACTCTCGACAGCTACGACTCTCTCTCTCTCTCTCTCTCTCTCTCTCTCTCTCTCTCTCTCTCTCTCTCTCTTCTCTCTCTGTCTCTCTCTCTCTCTCTGTCTCTCTTTTTCTCTTTCTATTTATCTGTATCTTTAAATTCTTTGAGACTCCGACTTAGAGTAACTCCCAGTTTTTAAATATTTCCTTATTCTTCTACTGTTTTGTCTCCCGATTGAAGGAAAAGTAGCTCTAGCTATTCTCCTATAAACTTACACATGTATATTTATATTTCTTGCCCTCGCTTTGAATATATATTTTTTAAGTCTACATATATCTCATGTCTTTGAGACGTATCTTCAAAATCTTAGCATTTCAATTAGTGTCTCTCTATATGCAACTCTCCTTCTATCTCTTTATATAGATTTCTATCCAATTTTATATATGTACATGTAACTCTACCTGTCTCTTTCCTCCCATCAATCTTCCAGTCCCTCACTCTCTCTTTCTCTCACTCTATATCTCTCTGTCTGTTTCTCTCAGCTCTCTCACTCCCTCTCTGTTAGTCTATATTTATTTCTCTCTCCTCCCTCTCTGCTCTCTCTCTCTCTCTCTCTCTCTCTCTGTTATTTCATACTTATTCTCCCTCTTTTATTTCAACAAGTTTTGAGCATTCAAATTTTTTTGTTTATTTAAATTTAATAGGTGTTTTTTTTTACATTAAAATTTAACTTGTTTTAGTTGTTAAAGCCCTTGTATGTATGTCTCATATATGTGCATGTATGCACATATATATCGATGTATCTATGTTTTTAAAATATACAAAAATACCTGTACTCCTTTGGCATTTTAGTGTTTATATATTAAGCGTGAATTGAAACAACTATCGAACTATCCAACCAACATTCATAACTGCACTTGAAACATTCATGATCGGGCTTACAATATTCACGGCTGCATTCACGATCTTCACGAACATTCCTCGATGCACATCGCATCTCGGCAGAGCGATCCACCTCAGATGTCATTAGTTCGCCTTATCGATATCATTAAAGCTTGAACTTTCAAAGTAATTATTGGCTTACCATTCTATATACACATATATGTATCTATAGCTGTAAATCAATGATCGATCAAGTCACATATCATTTGAGCCCAACAATCGTTGCAGTATTCGCTTCGAACTGAGTCCTCCAATACATCTAGAGTTTTTGAATCTCATTTTGAGTACTATGCAAATATAGTATTGGATAAAGTTGCGATTGAGAAACTGATCAAATCGAAATGATAAAAACTGCATATTATCAAATCCGAGATCGAAACTTAGTCGAAACTTGTAAATAAATCACTTTCTCAGTCTGAAGCACTATCTGTATCTCTCTCCATCTATCTCTCTCTCTCTCTCTCTCTTTCTCTCTGTCTATCTCGCTCTCTCACACTCTGTCGCTCGGATATCCATGGGCTAAGCTTAGAAACTTTTGGGTATTCTGCTGCAGCAGGGGCGCCCCTCCGCCCCTGCTCTCTGTGGCTTTATTGATTGCTCATTTGTCTATCTGCCTTTGTTTTCTTTTTTGTTTATTTTGAATCTTTTTTTCTTTATTTTCATGTTCCATTAAACCGATTCGATTTGTGCAAATAACCAAATATACAAATAATAATAATAATATGAATCGAACCGAACCAAACAACAAAACTGCAAAATGTTATCAAACAAACCAAACACAAACAAACAAAATCGAACAACTCTTTCGCAATGAAATCACCAACTGCAATTGAAACAATCGAAACAATAACGTTCTCAATCGAAATATTGTAAAATGTATACATAAATACACCAATTGCATTTGTGCACGTGCATTCGCTCTCATCAACAATTAATCAAATCGAATTTCGAACTTCGAATTCGACTGGCAAATCGGATGCAAATAATTGCAAAACAATAATAATTAAAAAAAACAAAAAAATCTATAAACTGGCTAAACCCAAAACTCATAATGCCAAAACGAAATGTGTGCAACAAACCCTTAAATAACACTCCACTCCTGCCTAACCTTATATAACCGAAAAACTAACACACCCACACACACATACACTCATACACTCATACACATTGACCGACCGTTGCCCGATGTCCCTGTGCCACCTTTTACAACACTGAAAACTCTGCTACTGCACACACCCACACACCCACACACACACACCCCACACACACACACACACACGTTGCGCCAAATCCCGTGTTATGCAAACCAATCAATACACCGCAAACCGCACACACACACACATAACCACTTGCACACACATACACACATGCCAAATCCAAATGTACCACCTACACACACACATATGAAATGCACATAATCAACTCCAAATTCGAAATTCTTTGCAATGCAACAAATGCCCATGCAAATGAAATTCCGTTGCAATCCTGCGGGCGAATCCTGTTGCGATCGCAGAACGGCGCAACCGATACGAAAATCGATCTGTCGGCGATCAACAAACAACTCGAGGAGACCATTCGTGTGGCACGGCAGGTGAAAGAGGCTGAGGCAGCGGCCGCTGCCGCCGCCCAATCCTCTGGCTCGCCCATCGCCCAGGCGCCCATTCCCCTCAAGTCCAACGAGCCCATCCAGCTGAGCTTCAACAACGAGCTGTCCTCGGTCAGCGGCAACAGCGGCGCCAGCACCGGCAGCAGCAGCAGCATCGGAGCCACCGATGTCAAGGCTCTCAACACCAACGATCTCCAGCTGTCCGAGTCAAAGTCTCCGGCCATAGACGAGCTGTCCTTGGACTCCGTGGAAGACACGGCCGACCTGGATGATCGCAACAAGAGGTAAGCGGCAGACCCCGCCCACTGGGCTGGCCCCACAACCACCCACGACACCACCCACCACAACAGCCACAAGTCACCATTGGCCTAGACATTGTCATAGACTGCCAATCGAATCCAACATGAGTTAGAAACGACAAGTCTGGAAAAGTAGAAAAGGATTTATACATGAATGCTGAATATATTGAATGCCCTAACTTATTATGGGCTTTGCTGAAAGCTCCATTTCAAATAAAAAATTATAATTATTGTTATTAGAAAACCCCAAAATTCATGTAGTCTGTAACTAAATATCTATATCTGTTCTATTTATCCGTCCAAATATCTAAATACCTAAAAATCTGTTATCTGTTATAAAAATTTCTTTTATTGCATATCCTAGTAATTCGACGTAGTCTATATATCTAGGGAAAGACAGGTTTTCATCCGGGAATCAACGCCTTGAGTAATTTCTTTTGCTTTCATGCATTCACAAGCTTCTTATATTAACACCAGATCGAGACATACATTTCAATTACATCACGATCAAGCATTCAGATCCTTGGTGCAGCAATCAACTATTTACCATAGACATAGATATATTTCAATCACGATCAAGCATTCAGAACCGTAGCTTAACAATCAATTATTTGCCATATATAGGTATGTAAATAGATATGGATATATGCATGTCTACGATTTTCGTATACGAATCATTTTGGATTCATTGGCAATAACATTAACCGATAAGACTTGAAAATTGTACCCAATATACTCGACTAATTGCACACTTCCGTCCACGTTTCCTTCAACTTTTCCTGCAAATGCAATCGAACAAACATAAGTAATATATTCAAAAGGTTCCTGAGCTTCGGTGGTGCCGGCCTGGCCGGTGGCTCCAGCGGCGGCGGTGCGGGCGCCTCGCCCAGCGGCAACAGCCTGGGCGGCGGCGCCGGAGGCTCCGGCAACTTCCTCCTGGACGTGGTGCGCGTAAGTATATAGCCCAGAGCTCGAAGCCTGAGTCTTTGGCAGCCGAATGACGCCCACCTTTCCCATCAGCTCTTCTCAGGCAGCGTGCAGACCCAGCAGGGCGACGAGGCCGCCAACTCGGTCAGCGGCGGCGCCAGCAGCAGCAGCGGCAGCAGCACGGACGACACGGATGCTGGCAGCGACAGCACGCGCACCGCTGACGGCTACACCGAGGGCATTCCCGGCCCCGTGACGCGTCTCGTTGTCCTGGCCAATCGAGGACTGGCCAACCTGGTGCAAGACTTGATACTGGTAAGAGTCGAAGGCTTTGCTTGCTCGATCTATTGTCCTTAACATTTGCTTATCTCATTTCTTAGCGCGTCGCCGCCACGAGCGAGAAGTTCGTGAACTTCAAGGCCAAATTGATAACGGCCCTGATATAAGCCAGCTTGTTGATCCTTGGCCAACTCCTCACGGCCCTGCCTTAGTCAAGTCAACCCAATTGTACAGAGTCAACGCAGCCAGCTGCACCACGCCCACATTTCTACACACACAATTACACACACACACATACACACACACACACACACACAAATGCAACACGCGCGGAGAACGCACACTTGATACTCGTCCACTCGTCCATCACATTAACGTTGTTGTGTTCTTTTATTTGACAATGGAAAACAATTTACAATCTTTAGCGAAATTTCTATTTCTTATATTAATACATACACACACATATATATATATACATATATAAATATATCTCCAATTCAACGCTCTGAGTAGAGAAAAATGTTTATCAAAATTTACAATACAAAAAGTGAAAAAGGAAAACTTTTTATTTATTTTTTTTTTTACACGAAAATCGAAGAAGAAGTAAATCACACACACACCCACATACATAAATACGATATGAATGAAAACAAAAAAAAAACGATCTTGCTTTCTGTTTCTTCCAAACTTTTGCTCTCGCTTCACTTTTGTAAATATTTTGCTATCCTAACTTAGTTTAAACGTTCGCGATTTCCATCCACTCCCCCAAGAATGTCCCACTCCATATATACATACATATATATATTTTTTGATTACTAAAAGACGAAAACAAAATCATGACTGTGGTGTTTTATTTACTATTATTTTTAAAAACATATAATTTTATGTAGAAAATACCAATTTCCTTCACACACAATATATATATATATTTTTTTTTTATAATTTTTTTTTCGCTTTACCTCTTTGCCTTAATTATCAAGTAATTAAACGAAATTTTCGAAACGCAAATTCATAAAAACATTCTCAATTCTTGAACAAGTCAATCAGGATATGTTTATACGGATACACGAAGAACAAGAAGAAGAAAACTATTTTAAATGCAAACTGTTCTAAACCTATTTACCGTTTTTATTTACACGTAAGCAAATGTGTTTCTATGATTTTTAACAGTTTAAGTAAAATTTTACATGTATATAAAATAAAAAAGTTTACTTAAAATACTCTAAAAGATCTTTAAATGGAGGGGCCAAAGGGAACAAGTAGATCGTAGACTCAATGCATTGAGGTCTATCCCATCGTTTATCGCACCCAGAGCTCATTGCAAGTGTTATGAACGGAGGTTAGACCATCCCAAAAAGTATATATAGACTGCTCAGTATCATATTAATTCGATTCGTATGAATCAGAGATGTCTGAATTTCAGAGTTTGAATTGCAATTTCTTCGATATCTAAACTCTTTTATCTTGCTTTCCATTGACAATAAATATACATTTTTAGGATATTTGGTTAAATAGTTGAGTCATTCAAGCATTCCGAACCGTAGTATCAATCGTTTATGTGTTTACCATAGTGAGGCAGTGAACGTATTCTTGTGTGCGTTTGTGCATGTGTGCGTGTCTGTCTTAGGCCAATTAGAATCTCCAGGGTATTTGCTAGTCGAACACTTCCAACTAGACAAATCTTGTGTATATATTGAATGCTACAATATTTTTTATTATTTAACAGAATTATAAATTTGAAGAAAATTCAATTGATTTGCTTTTTGTGGTTTTGCCTTTGATTTTATCGCAGTTGAAGGCCATTCAGAAGGTTGTGCGACAAGATGAAGGAGAACCACTCGAGTTGGCATTGCAAGAGTTAGTTGTACAGACAAATTGAGTGTCGATAAATATACATATATAATAGTATATATAATATATTGTATTAATATTTAATGAGGTAAAATGAAAAGCATTCAACTAATTATAATGAAGTCTTTGAGCTATTTTTATTCGAAATTTTAGGAATCAGGAATGATTTCCTTTAGAGATAAGCCAATAGCTTATTGGAATTTCAACTTTGATTCGATTCACATTTCTTTTAGGACAGCGAACGCGTATTAGCTAGTCGGTTGCACCCGAGTACAACATTTTTACTTGATTTCAATGCAAATCTTAACCCAGAGAGAGCCAGTAACTAGTAACCTGATTTTGTTAGATCAATTCGAGAATCATATCAAGAGATAAATTGCATAAGTAATTGTAGAGCAATTCTCATTTTGTGCGCAGTTATATATGAATACATCACAGAGTATATATCTGTGTATATACGACGCCTATCGTGCGCTTTATTTGAGACTGTCTTTCCACTGATAATGCCGACGTTATTATAATACTCACATCTCATATTTCGACTGTGCTTGCAATTTTTTATATGAGCTCTCTCGATATACTTATATGCATATAGATACCGATATAGCTAGCAATTTCACTCTTGTTACCCATTCCACTGAGTGAAATTTAGGGAGCTGGGCGTGAAGGCTGCGCGTGCGCAGGCGTCATCAGCAGCTAAACGCACTTGAGAACCACTTCCGGTTAGGGCACTAGGCGGGCAAAGCAAACAAACAGAAATCAAAAACAAAAACAATCAAAAATATAAAAATTTTACTGCTTGCAGTGCTGACGATGCGTCGACGGTCAGCGCAGATTGGCTGAATGCGAAACGCGAAATGCAATAAGAAAAGCAGCCGCAAATATGTGGCTCGCTGCTTATCCTGGGACGCGTCATTTCGAGTGGCGCACGAGCAATTAAAATTGCACAATTTAAATGCTTGTGCAAGCGGCGGCACGCGTCTTGTGTGGCAGAGCGGGACGGGCGAACGGCCCACGCGGGCGTAGCCAGCGGAGAGAGGGAGAGAGGACAAGGAGCAGTGCGTTTGTTTTGACAAGTGCGCATAAGTACTGTTGGGATGTTTAGTTGTGTTGTTATCGTTGTAGTTGTAGTTACTGCCTCTGTATACGACTATATGTATGTACATACATGTATGTATATGTGCATACACACATACGTACAAATGTAGCGGTTCATGCACAATTTGTCGTCACTTGCGACGACGATGACTTAATTTGTTTAGCAGCAGCCCACAATTATAGCAGCTGAGTCCCAGAGCTGACCAAAGAGTCAGCCTCTGCGGCCGTCGGCTGCTCATTCGCACTCTGAGCAGCGCTGCGTCCACACATACACATATGTGACACGTTCTCCAGCACGAACATGGATATGGGTATGGATATGGGCATGAATATGGGCATGGACATGGACATGGACAGGGATATCAACATTAACATCAACATCAATGCTAGCGAGACCCTTGAGTTCTCAACGTACCTCCTGTCCTCATTTGCCGGCGCCGACAGCAATGGCAGCGGCAGCAACGTGGGCGCCGATTCCGAGGACTCGCTCATTGGCCATACGCGCAGACAAGCACCGCCTAGACAGAAGATTAATGCACGGGAGCGCCATCGCACTTTCAAGTGAGTTGTCATTTATCAGTAATTGCCAAGTCCACTTCATTTGAGTGGTGTTTACATTTCTTTAGCGTGAATGCTGCATATGAGGCGCTGCGCGGCTTAATCCCCACGGAGCCCGTTAATCGCAAACTATCCAAAATCGAAATAATACACCTGGCCAGCAGCTATATAACGCACCTAAGCAGCACGTTGCACGCAGGTAAGCAAGCTATTAATTATTCGTTTCATTGCCGGTCATCCTAACACACAATTCTTATCCCACGTCCTCTCATCCCGCCACCAGGAACCGATAGACAGCCCTGTCTGCGTCAGAAGTGGGAGCACAAGTGCGAAAACGATGGCAACAGAGCTGCGGAGCGTGTTAACATTTGCACATTTTGCATGCGACCTAAATTTTCACAGTCCACGAGAAATGTAGAATAGTCTACAGTTAATCTAATTGAATATAATATTAAATGTGTACATAAATAAATGTTATTCATACCGCGATAATATTTTTACATATGCGCAATTTTTACCGCCACCTGTGCACTGTTAACGGTACTAAGCAGTTGAAATAATTTACCGAGCCTAACACAAAATTCAAACTTGACTAATTAAATATGGTTATATTTATGACTTTTTAAAAATAGTAGTCCGAAAATAAATTCGGACGACATAATTAAAATTTATTATATTAACATTATATGTATGTATTTAAAATTTAAGAATACAAAAAAGAAGTATTTTATGCTCACATAATATTTTTGTAACAGTCGCAAATGAGTAATTTTTACAGCCCGAAATCAAATAATAGAGACTTTTGTCGAATAAAGAATAGCTTAACTTCTTAACCCCTTTATTTATTTAAATGAGAATTTTTTAGCATGGTGGTCAACTGCTTTAATACAAAATAACCAAAACAAAACAAAAAAAACCCACATTTTTGTTAACAGTGCCATAATGAGTTATGCATCGATAACAAGTAGGAGTATCGATAGCTTTAAAGCCAGCAACCAACATAATGTGTCATTCCAAATATAAATTGTATTTTTTTTTTTTTTTTAAGTGAATTTACATTTTTTCGTGCACTGAAATGTACCACGTATAAATAAAAGGTGCATAGAAATATAACTAGTTGCTAAGCCAACATTTGAAATGTTCAATTGAATCTAACGTGCATTTGTGGCTGAGGGCAACATTCGATAATAATAAAGTTATTTAATCGATAGCTAGTAAATATTGTTTGACAATCACATTGGCTTACCGATAACAGATAGATAGAGCCATCTGAGTTTTATATCGAAATTTACTCACATGACACTGTAACACCCGAAATATTTTACAGTTAATTTTCAAACAGTTAATGGTCGACTCATTTTGGCACTGTTAACTTCAGTTTAGTATATCGGCTATAAGAACTAAAACTATTCGATTACCGTACATGGCATCACTAGCGCTTTGACTTGCAAATGGTAGCGGGATCTATTTAATTGTATTAGATTTGTTTAAGTTTACTTTCGCTTTTCGGAAATGGGCGATATATTGAATGTAAGTGAATATATATCTACATATCTTGTATGATTACATGCATTGTCGTTCTTTTAGAATTCGGAGATGCTTAAAAAGCTGGGCATCGACAGCTCCAATCAGTGGATTATTTACGACGAACAGTTTGAGAAGTTCTTCAACTTTTTGTCAGAAAATATTACGGACTCCAACATTTTAACAGAACGGGAAGTACTGGAGAGTGAGGAGATGAAACAGCGTGGCGCATGGCTGAAAGAATCAGAGCGTGTCCTAAAGCTACAACAAATAGAATCGGAAAATCCTGGCCTACTAAAATACACGGCTCATGACGTTGACGCACTTGCCCTCGAGGTGGAAGCTATTAAGGAGGCAACCAAGGATTATTGCATACTGATCGACGAAATGCAGTAAGCAATTTATTAAGAGCACAAAGCGACAATTTTGATTAGTAAACAGCTTCCTTTCATCAAAGGAACACAAAGCACAGTCAGAGCAGCAAACTAAGCGAGCTGGAGTGTACGATTTTGTCATTGAGTAATGGAGAGAGGGAGCTATTAGGGGAGTGCCAGGCAAAGGCTCGTCTACTGGAAGAGGTGCAGCGAGAGAACGCCAAGCTGAGCGAGGAGGCCAACAAGGGCTTTACCATGCAACAGTCGCCGCCCCTTTTCATGCACCAGATGCCGCTCGAGCAGTATTTCCTGAAATGTGACTCTTTCATGCAGTACTTCACGCTCTACATGAAGGAGAATTTCAAGATACAAGAGTTCACGGAATTCGAGGACGCCGAGGTGAACATGCAGCACTTCAATAGCAATCTAGAGAACCTGCAAAAGTCGTAAGTGGGCAAAACGAATTCGTGAACACAATAAGTAATACTATTCACGCACAGCATTCAGTATCACACACTGGAGTACATAAAGGAGAAGGCCAAGGCGAAGGCCACACAGGCACTGATTGATCACGTCGATCTCAATAAAATCCATTGCATCAGCTTGGCAGACATGATGCGCGAAACACACGAGCTGCAGCTGCTCAACAGGAATCACCTGACGAGCACCCACGAGACTCTGATGAATGCGCTGACCATGCACGTCCAGCAGCATACGCAGCAGCGCATTGAGCTGGTCCTCTACGAGAACACCAAGCTCAAGCTGGAGCGGGCACTGCGTCGCCGCGAAAATGACAAGCAGCTGACGACCGTCATTTCCGATGCACTGTCCAATGCTGAGCTCATCTGGATAGGCATACAGCTGGACCTAGAGAAGAAGCGAAACTGTACGGACAGCTCCATTGGTCTGTGTATGCAGGCGCAGTCTAGCTGCCAGCGTATACAAGCGATGCGCTCGCTGAACGCCTGCTCTAAAGGCATCTATGCCCAGTTTGTGCACGAAATCGCCAGTCAACTATCGACACATCTCGGCCAGAACGTTCGCTCCGCTGAGGCCAAGAGCTGCTTATTTGAGTATGAAAAGTTTGGCCGCCTCTTGGCTAATTCTCTGCACAGCATGTTGAGCCACAAGTCGGAAGTGTATGCGCACAAGCAGCTGGCCGAACTGTAAGTAGAGCCTAAGAATTGTTGATCTGAATCTAGGATTTACCGAATCGGTTTTACAGCAAGGACTTGGAACAACTGTTGTGCCCGTTCGTCTATAATTCGCCACTTGATCAACCCATGCTAGAGAACGTTCGATATTTGTATCCCATGTTTGATGTTCGACAGCAGCAGCTGCGCTTCGAAGACTCGCTTCGCCAATTGCGCACTCAGTTCCAGGAAACGATCCTAGAGCGTATGGTTAGTCAGCAAGGAAACAGTATTCTCTCCCTAATAGAGAGTGTTCTTAACGTTTTGTCTTTCCTCCTCCGTAATAGGACAAAGAGAAGCTTTGGCGCTATAGCAAACTCTTGTGGATTTGGTTTCTCACTGATCCACAACGCATGATTCATGCCATTGATGAGGTAAAGAAGAGCTCAGCGAAGATCCCGGCGCTAACAACCGCCATGCTGCGTCCCATCGGCGGACTACAGCGCAAATGAATAGTATACATATTAGCTAAGTAAAATATAAATACCATCAAATATTCATAGTAATGCATTCAGTGATTATAAATTGCAAAATGTCTGATGAAACATAGGTAAGCAACCGATGGATATTGCATTTAATACATAAGTACCTTAAATGAATATAAGTAATGTTGTTTTGTTATCAATTCAACGAGAAGTGAAATGAAACATTTGGCATCTCGATGTGCAGCATTCTCCACTCCTCTAATTTGTGCGATATTCCGTCCCTCTCTACGTTGTGTTGGTTTGCACCCCTGTGAATGAAATAAAATATATGCATGCTGCATGCCATTTTGTACAAATTAATTTCTCACTTTTAGGAAAGTAAACGATTAAATAGGAATTTGGTTGCAGTAAACGAAATCTTTTGATTGTTCTCAGTTTTTACAGATACATGTTAAGATCCTAAAAATTTATAAAGTGAATTTAATTAGAGCTAAAATGTAGAATCTATACAAATTGAAACAACTGAAATGTCTATCAAAAAGATAAAAATGTTTTTAATGAATAATCGATCAAGATAATGCATCATATGATCACAAAATTAACAATCTGTTATTATAAATAGGCATTGTTATCTTATATTCATTGGTTTTCAATCATTTTCAAATGTTAAGTTATGTATTCTTATATAACTTATATTCAAATTCAAACAAATGCTATTTAGAAAAAAAAAAAACAACTTGCCTTAAACTATACAATGTCTACACTTACCTAACTAAATTCAAGTACATAAAGATCTATAATTTGTTTCTGTAAATATAAAAATCTTTTCCAACAAACTACTATATAAATTACTTATACGTTTAATGGAGATACTAGCCCAGAATCTTATATTTCATTAAGGGCAACTTTAAGATTATGTGTGATCTATTATCTACAAAGTATCTTTGAAACTACATAAGACTGTTAATGCATGTACTTTGATGATATTATTTAAATGAATACTACTGTTCTCATTCCATAATTCCAAATGTCAATATAATACTATCAACTAGTTCCACCATCGATAGTATATGAACTAATTAAGCAGTGCCTCTACAATCAGCTTCAAGTTCGAAAAGCTGTTGCTTCAGTCCAAAATGATTAGATGTGAATGGGCCAAATAATCTGAAGACATGCCTTAGCTTCTGACTCGTATAGAATTGTCTAAAAAACATGTTTGCTAAAAAATAAGCACTAAGACCTAAAAGACTATTGAAATTCGGTATTACCAAGATCATATTTAGAAAGAAACTTGAACATTTCTTATGAAATATTCAATATTCATATTCTTTTCTTCCTTGTTGAGAATTTATCATGTTTCGCAGAAGGAATAAGTGCACAAATATTTTTATATACAATTTATTGCAAATCATGCTTGAAGTATACTCCATGTAATTTGGCTCTTAAGAAGTCAAAAGCAACGGCGCCTCAGAAGATATGCCTGGTATGCGAACACAGTTAAGAATAATGTAAAAACCATCGAAATGAGTTTTTTGCTACTTAAATATTTACATTACAAAAATATTCCAAATACAAAAATGATTATTTTAAGCTATAAGCTAAAAGAACTTTTTCATTATTTACATCCTTGTAGTTTAAGAATATGAAAGTCACGCTGATATTGGTATACTGGATGCATATAAGTATATAAATGAAATGTATGTAACTGGCAGAATGGGGCGTGGCAGACTTCACAAAGTATATATATTCTTGATCAGGCGACGAGCTGAATCGATTTAGCCCGGTCCCTATGTCTGTGTGCCCATCTGTCCGAATAGTTTGACGCGTTGATCACATAAGAGCTAGAGAGATTTTTTGGTCCGTATATACAAAGCCGATATATTTTATATATCGTATATTGTTGTGTAAGTAGAAAAGAAGCAAAGAATTGTTTGTTGTTCCATTTGGTGACATGGATGAACGAACATAATGGAGTTTTGTATCTAACAGTACTTTCACTACTACCACTTTTTACCACTCTTACCGCAGGCGAGCCTAGATATGAGACAATATCCTAGTGACAAAAAGAAGTTTTAAAAATAAAATGAAAATACAGTTATCATAGTACAAGGCCTCGATCCGAAATTGATTAACTTTTATTTTGTCATTGCTCAAAGTCTTT